GCTCTTGTTGTTTTTGTTGTCTGTTGCCACCTTGGGTTGCTGTCCCTCTGCCATGCCACCCTACCTTCGAGCCAGTTGATTACAGACTGAAACCTCTCCTTTCCTTCCTTAATTTTGAGTTGGGCATTTTGTTCTAGCAATGAGAGAAAAGTAAGTAAGACACGGGGTGACTGCTTATTTCTGAGCCTAGACCAAGGGCTGTGAGGGAACTGAGGAGTGAAGGTCTTATAAATAGCATTTTGACAGGAATTTCCAGTAAGCCTCCCGCACACTAAAGTTTGGCAATCATTGCTTTAATCACAACATCTGCTTAAGGTCTACAGATTTTAAGAAATTGGTTGTTATGTATGTTTAAGCTTGTAGCCTCTGTCTGCATATGCCAGCAGATCTCTCCTCTTTTCCCTGGCAGCACAGTGCACAAGTGAAAAGCCCAGAGTGTGAAGCCAGATTTTTGTGTATTTGCATCTCATATCTGATTCTTACTAACAGTGATCCTCAGCAACCTTTCTGTGGCTTAGTGGCCCTCCTATAAAATGAAAGTACAATTAAAATCCAACTCTAAGTGGGCAAAGTATATAGGTTATTTTTTTAGAAATCACTGAAAATCATGCTGGACACACTGTAAGTTCCCTGTGACTGTTATACACAAAATAGAATCAATGAGCGGCTTCTGATCACCAGCCCAGCTGGTAATCTTCCAAAAATCTCATTTCCATCTCCATTTCCAGAGCATTATTTCCCAACTCATTCCAAAACTTTTCCTCCTTTGTTGTGTTAATCCTCCAAGTTGAGCACTTGTGGCATAGTCACTGCCCTGTCCATGGTGCTTAAAACAAGTCCTGACACATACTACAGACTCAATAGTTGATGAATGAAATAAGTGAAAGAGTGCATAATCCTGGTTTCATTAATATTTTTCCTTCTTGTAGTCCTTCACTAATACACAAAGAATCCCCGCTTCCCTGTTGACAATCAATGCACCTGGGTCAGTCTCCAGCTTCACCTCAATTTCTACCATTACCCAGAAGAATTTAAGCTCTAATACTGCCCAATCCCTGCCTCACACAATGTGCAAAAGTCTCATTTCTGTCCCTATGACACTACAGAATCTCTACCTGTAATGGTAAATAAATTATGGTCTCCAAACCAAAGGACACTTTTCATTCTTTATCTTATTTGACTTTTCTTTAGCACTTCATTCTGTTGACCTGTCTCTCCTCTACTTTCCACCTCTCCTGCTTCTTATCTTAATAGATCATTCCTTCTCCATCCCCCACCTTCCTTTCCATTTAATCAGTCCCTGTTTTCTGTATTAAATCTTTTAATGGTACTGATCAAGGTGAAATCCAAACTACTTAGCATGGTACCTATGTCTAGATCACTCTGTGGAACAGGGATCACAGCACCCATCTCAATAAATGGTAGGAAGCACTGCTGGTAATAATGCAGCTCACCTGTTCTGCAGAAGATCCACAAATTTAAGCTATTATTGCAAGTACTTGGTAATAAGTAATCACGTGATATTCAGAACAGATTTCTTTAAATGAATGACAGAGAATACAAGAAAAATACTTCTTTAAAACATTTTGATTTCTAGAGTATGATAAAATTGTCATTTAGCTTTCTTTAAAAGATATTGTTTAATATGAGAAAGGTTATAAAGTATTCTAAAAATCCAAAACCCTCTGGAGAGAGCCAATAATGATAATGACTTAACTGAGGTTATTATTCAAAAGAGTAGGCAGCCATTTCTTAAACTATGTATGATTTTTGAATAGAGTATAATGGATTCTTGCAATTTTGGACTCTTTTGCAATTTAAATCTCTAGCAATTTTTAAAGCTCAGAAGTCTAAGTTAACTACATATTATTTTCCATTAAATCCCTGAAATGTCTTCAGATAACAATTTTTTAATACTGTATCACTTTGATTTTTCCTGAGTCCACGTAGAATACAACCTTATATTCTCCTCCCAAGGACCCAGACTGCAGATAATGTGTCCTTTAATGGTTAATTAATCTTCTGTAGGTGCTATAGTCACACAAGGAAGGTGGGAGAGTTCCTTCCAGAATGGCTCAGCCAGTTGTAAAACTTCTGGTTGTTATTAACTAGCTGAGTCACTTCCACAGTGTTCTGAATGACCAACAAGTGATAATTCTACAGGGAGAAGAAAAAATAAAGAATCTAAGTAGAAGATAAAATGTAATGGAAATAGTTCCCTGTCCAATGTCTCCATCAACTACCACTGCCAACCAACCCAGGCTATATAAACTTTTATTTTTAATTCATGAGGAGATCTCCTTGGGGACCACCCTCTTGAAGCATTTAAGGAATATTAGAGACTGAACTAGGAATAAAATTTGAACAACTACCTGGTAATTTCTTTTGCATATGATCACTACAACTGCAAGACCAACTTGCTATCCCCTCAACTAAAAAAAGAAAAAAAGCAATTTCATCTACTGCTAATGAACCTCACAAATAAGCACTTAAATAATATGCCCTGAAGTTCCACATCTTGACCATGACTTACAGGAAAGATGATTATATAATTTATCCCCCACAATAGTGCAATTACACACTAAGCTACTTTATAATGAGGTATGTTAAACATTTCCTAAGTATCTTTTAATGATATTGAAGACAGATCTACCTTATGCCAAATCCCTAATATGTGGACAACATAATATGAAGATGATAAGTAATTTAATTGCTCATATCTCCACAACTGTCCTAGACATAAAACAAATAAACTGAATATTCTTTATACCTCCTTTGCATGATTTATTAACTAAACTACTGACTTTAAGGGTGAGATAAAATGTGCAGATTGTGAGATGATCAACAAGATAAAATCTTTTATAGTAAGTATACCTCAATTAGTACACTCCATCTTGACTGTTCAGGTGTCCCAATATGGAAACTTTGATATTTCAGAATAACAAAGCACTTAAAGATGAGTCTTTTAAATTTCTCAGGTGAAATTTTTGGTACCTCAAAAATGATAAAATATTTTTAAAATCTTTTAGCTTCATGCATCTTCTAAAAAGACTAACAGTAACTTTTAGGAAGCACATTTTAAACATCTACGGCAACTCTGGTTTCTCTTCAGATCATATAAATCTTTCATCTTTTAAACATCTACTGCATTCTCTAACATTGACTATAACACTTAGAATAGTGACATCAGTCTCCAGGAATGAGAATTTTAAGATAGTTTAAAATAGACATAAAACCATGTAAGACCTTTAAAACTAGGCCTGTGTGCGTTTAAGGAGTGAGTTCATTCTGTGATTGCTCTTCGTTAACAGCAGACATCATATCAAGAATAGTACCAAGTGATTCACAAAACACATTTGTATACAAGTATGTCCCACTTTTCTTTAATGTCAGCAGTTAGCTTAGAAATGAATATACTAACACAGTTACACTAACAGAGAACTAAAAAAGTGTTTGGCTCTTGATTTCCCAGGTAAAAGAGGGGAACAGAGATACAAATAGGTGATGTACAGCAATTCGATCACACTATGTAACTACAAGCTCTAGTATGGACAGAGTTACTGACATTTTTTACAAAAAAATCTTGTGTAAATAAATGTCTCTTACTTTTTGAAGTAATAAGCAATGAATTTCAAAAAATTTCCATAGAACAAAAAGAAAACATGCAAAAAGTCTCTCTTTTACAGTATCTATTGTATATAAATATTAAATTGGGAACACTCCACAAGTGCCTATGCTTTTATCATATAATAATGCACACCTTTGTTTGAGATCAAAATATAAATAAGCACAGAGAAAACAGAAAAGATGGAAATGATACACTTTTAAAACAAAAGTGAAAGGAAACAAAATGATAGGATAATATGCAATCATCCTAAATGATGCTTGTAAAGACAAAATATGCATGTTGGTGGATTATGTGAGTAAGTATAAATGTGAAAGTCTTACTAATTGTAACTGTGCTAATAGTATGTGCCCAGTCAAAAACGACTAGAGGAAAATAGATCAAAGTGCCAAAATATATCATTTATCATATGACTTTTACCCCATGGTGAAAATTATGTGTGCATATTAAAAACATTCCAGAAAATTTTAAAAATGGATTTAATCAGAACTGTCACTAGAACATTATCTCTACTACATCACAAAACTGGTCTGTTTGAAAGGTAGATGAATATCCTGTAAACACAGTACTGGAGCCAGGCTTCTACTGTTCAAGTCCCGTGTTTGACATCTACTGCTTCTCTGATCATGGGTAAGCTATTTTACAGGGGTTTTTTTCTCTTTTTTTTTCATTTTAAAGAAATAAAAAAAAATAAAAAAATACAGAATTTTAAAACAAGATGATAGGAAATTAACAATGGTTATTATATTGTATATTGTTATCTTCCAAGTAGTTCCTCAGATTACAAGTTAGGCATATTTTGCAGTTTTCTGTTGCACTTTCTCCACCTATGACGGGAGACAGAGACAGTGGTCCCATCTTGGCTATTACAGGTTGAGTCATCCCTTACCTACATTCTTTGGGATGAGAAATATTTGGGATTTCAGGGTTTCTTGGATTCTGGAATATTTACATGTACGTAAAGTATCTTACAGACAAGATAAATCTGAATACAAAATTCATTTATGTTTCATATACACCTTAGACACATAGCCTAAAGGTAATTTTATGGGTTTTTTTTTATCATTTTGTGCATTAAAAAAGTTTCAGGGTATAGAATTTTTCACGTTAAGCTTCATGTCGGTGTTGAAATAGCTTCAGATTTTGGAACATTTCTTTTCTTTTTTTTTTTTTTTTTGGTTTTCCTCCGGTACCAGGAACCGAACTCACGACCTTGCACTTGCCAGGCAGGTGCTTTTTGCCGCTGAGCTAAATCCCTCGCCCCTGGAACATTTCTAATTTAGGATTTTCATATTAGGGGTCCTCAACCTGTACAAGGAAAAAAAAATCCATATGAGGCTTTTGAACAGCATTTAGTACACAAAGGCTACTTTGTAAACTGTTTCTGTCATGACCCAAATTATTCCTCATTAAAAGGTAAATTTAGAAATCTGATATCTTGTCGTCATACTCAGAGAGAAAGCAAAGGCTCAGGTAACTTAGCCTTAGTTAAAATTTTTTATAGTATGTTTTTATAGTAATAATGCTTTATTATTTCATAATATGTCTTCCCTATCACTTGGTATAGTGTTTAACTCACATCCATCTGCAGCTCGTCACATGCTGACAACAACACAAGAGCCTTTCAGTTATCTCCCAGGCTGAACAAAGAAGAGCGGCACCCTCACAAGGAAACATGGAGTAGGAATGTGCTTAGGTTTTAAAGACCTTCCCTGTCATATGAAAAATACGAGTATAGCAGAAAATGTGCATGACATCAAAGGAAGTAGATCACCCAAGAAGAAACCAAGTTTACCTTTAAAACAAAAAGACAAAAACAAAACCCCACTGTTGATCATGAAAACAGAAGTAAGAGATGCATTCATTTGGTTTTGTGTTTACTTACTAATATTTATGTCCTAATAATCCAGAAGTTGCCTTCCTCATTGCAGGAAGATGAATCCATAACTGGCCTTGGGTTGACTTATTTGAACTGCAGAAGACATTTACTACCTCCATATTCATATCTGGGGGGCTGGGGATTTAGCTCAGCGACACAGAGCCTGCCTGGCAAGTGCGAGGTCGTGAGTTCAATTCCCGGTACCGGAAAAAAAAAAAAAGCAAAAGAAATGTCATATTCACATCTGGGTTTAGCACTTGAGTGACTGACTCACTGCCTGTTGCTTCCATCTCTCTTCCCTCAGGCTGGATTCTCCCAGCATCCCTATTGCTCACTCCGTAACAGGCTATAATTTCCCACTACTCTGACAAACACCCTCACATTTGGTGACTGGAAAGGCATTTCAGATGTCAATCCAAAGCCAAATCCTGCTGAGGAAAATGAATGCCTGAATCATACTGTTATTAAATTATTCCTCTTATTCAGAAACTGCAAATTTCTAGTATGTCTACTTTCCAACTAAGTCAAAAATGTTCTTCCTTTTTATTTCCTCTCCTCTGTAACCTCCCAGATTTGACCCTTCAGAAAATTTACATGCAACTCTTCCAATATAATTATGAGAGAATTAGCAACATATCCTCCTAGGAATAGAGGAAGGAAAAATTATATATGTATCTCACATTTTCCCTCCTGGCTTTTCTGGTTAAATGACAATACATGTGAAATTTAGAATTAAAAAAATTCAATGCAATCTATAGAGAGAGTAAGATGTAATATAAAAATAAAGGGCTGCATATCTGACAAGTTGGATTACTGTTCTACTATTTCTGATTGGATGACTTGGAATAAGCTGAATGAAGCTTAACTTCTATATACATAAAAGAGTAAAATATTACTTAACTTAAAGGCTATTAGAATGATTAAACTATACCAATTGCCTGAAACAGAGCAGAATACATAGTTGATGTTCAAAACTTGTTACTGTTATCATTCATATGAGTTTTACATCTCATTTTATGTTTCATTAGCTCTTAAATGTAAGTAAATCATTATACAGACCTTCCTCATTTAACAAACGAGCTCCATTCCTTCAACCAGGTAGTTAAATGAATTGTTCGCTAAATGAGAAATTGTATATAGGATGTACATTACAATATTCTGAACAAAGAAACTGTCAAAGAAAACACCAATTTGATGATTTTGCTTTTATTTGCATAACTCTTACATGAAGTACTGTACAACAGAACATAAAACTATAGTACTGTATTGTATGGTACAATCAGTGCAAATTACAGTTCTGTACTGTTAAAGAAGCCACCATAAGGCCACATTGCCACTCATGTTCCTACATTTTGAGTCTGAATTCAGGTCATAAACTTGAGCAGGGCATCCTAACTACAAGAGCTGCCTTGGTAGAAAGTCCAAACAGTCCTTAAACAGGTAGGTCGTTAAAGGAGGAATGTCTCTATAAAAGGGTGGTGACTTTGGTATTTACACTAAAAGCCATTTTCTAGAGAAGGTTAATCTCGATAAATAAAAAGGTCTTCTGTGGGAACATCATTGCAGTTTTAGTTTTAAAACTTGGAAGTCATAGATAAGGAGAACTGAACAGGAAATTTTGGAAGTTCTGAGATCAAAGGAGAAAAAAAGAACAAGAAGGGTATCTTGGAGAGGAGAACAAGAAAGAGACTAAAACAAAATGAGACCAGAAACTTGACTTTGTGAGGTGATAGAAAGATGTGAGATGGGGAATGAGAGGGGTGGCAGCAGGAATAGCCTGAACATGTTTGTACTGCCACAGAGAAAATATTTCCTCTACCATTTCTCCAAATCTTCAGATGTGTCCTGTAATGCCATACCTGTTTGTATGAGTAGATTTTGTGTTGATATCAAGGAAAAGAATGAACTTAGTTGTGTCTGACAGAAAGAGCATTTGAGAAGCAGAACAGGAGAAAAGAGGAGAAAGGGAGAGGAAGGAAAAGAGGAGAAAGAAGAGGAAATGGAGCAGAAAAGGAAGTTAGTTTGCAGGACACTATACAAATTAAAAATATCATTGTCCTATACCCCATCAGTTAAAGAATGATTCTTTATAAGCTCATGTAAAACACTGATGAAAAGTGATGACAAAATTAGATAAGTCCTCTGCAAGCACCAAGAACTTTAAATCATATAAATAATATCTTACACTTTGTAGATTAGAAAGAGATTGAATTGATGTAAGTACCTGGAATGTATAAGAAAGGACATTTCTGCTCAGCTGTAGAAATCTTTTCCATTCACACTGAACACTCTTCTGCAGTGACCACCAAAACTTTTGGTATTCATGACTTTGTCCCTAAACTGACCAGTGAGAGCACTGTAACTGTCAAGAGAAGAGGAGGAGGAGAAGCAGGGAAAAAGAAACATCAGTTAAAAACCAGAAATAGTGCTTGCTGGGGAAAAAAATCATTAGAGGACTCTAGCAATCCTTAAAATACTTTGCAGTTAAGTATTTCTTTGAGAAAGTGAAAATAAAGAGAACAGCATGCTAATGGACACCATATATTATCCAACTTCCTCTGCTTGGCATAATAGCTAACACTAATAGCTGGGGAAATCCAACATCATTTCAACTGCACAATATATTTTTGTAACACACAGGCTTGTTGTATCTATGGCAACAGCTGATTTTGAATTGAGTCTATAGATGAAACCAATAAGATTAAGGTCACTCTGGAAGAGAGAAAGCTTTTTTGTAATTTTTTTATTTTAAAGAGAATAAAAAAATAACAACAACATAGACAAAAACAACACAAAAGCAATAAAAATGATACAGCATTTCAAAACAAAATGATAGTGGTTGTTATATTACATATTGTTATCTTCAACAGAGTTGCTCAGATTACAAGATGGAACAATGCAAGATTGATCAAACCATTAAAGAGAATAAAAAAAAATTAGAAAAAAAACATTGGGAAAGATACAGAGCTTTTCAAAGACCCAATCCAAACATGAGCATCTGAGATGAATACACACTTCTCTAATGAAGAGATACTAATGGCTAATAAATACATGAAAAAATGTTCAGCATCATTGGTCATTCAAGAAATGCAAATTAAAACAACACTGATTCCATCTCATCCCAGGAAGAATGACTATCATCAAGAAATCCACCAATAACAAATACTGGAGGGGTTGTGGGGAAAAGGGAATTCTTCTCCACTGCTGGTGGGAGTATAGACTGGTAAAATCACTGTGGAAATCAGTATGGAGATTCTTCACAAAACTAGGATTAGAGGTCCCATTTAATTGAGCCATTCCTCTTCTGGGTATTTTCCCAGAAGAATTAAAGACATCATACCACAGCGATATATGTGCACCCATGTTTATAGCAGCACAATTTGTTATATCTAAATCTTGGAAACAACCCAGATGCCCATCCACTGAAGAATGGATAAAAAAGTTATGTTGTTTTTATACAATGGAGTATTACTCAGCTATTTAAAAAGATAAACTTGAGGTTTTTGTAGGTAAATGGATGTAACTAGAGACCATACTCATAAGTGAAATAAATCAGACTCACATGTGTAAACATCATATTGTCTTCCTAGTATAAGAACCTGAAAGAGTAAATAAATCCAAAAGGTACAATATATATTGTGAAAGGGAAAGAAATTGCTCAAAGGGAAGGAACAACTGGGATGAGGGAAAGGAGAAAAAGAATAAAGTTACTTTAAGGAGTGTGCCATTCAGCATAATCAGAGATAAGTTAAAAATTCACTGTAAACACTTTCTCTCTAAACAACATGGTAGGAATTCACCAATGGTTGTTTTTGGGGGATTTTTTTTTTTTTTGGTACCAGAAATCAAACTCAGGACCTTGTCCTTGCCAGGCAGATGCCTATGCCACTGAGCAATACCCCCAGCCTGTGAATGGTTGTTCTATTGCAATTGATTTTTGTCAACTTGCCATATGCTTTGGAATCTAAAAAGAAAGACTATGAAGGTGTAAATCATAACTCAGGAAAATAATTGTTATGCTATCCATAAGTCTAGGATACCAAGAAACCACTGGAGAGCACCAGATGATCCAGCTCCCTGGCATCATTTCAGCCATTCTTTCTAAGCTTCTTATCCCTAGTCATATTGGGCCATTTGCATGAATCAAAGGCCTGGTCTCCTGTCATCTCCAATGACCAGCCTGGGCTATATAATGAGTTCAAGGTCAGCCTGAACTACATAGCAAGACCCTGTCTCAAAAGAAAAATAAAAGAATCAAGTATTTAAATATTACCTTCTCCTGAAAACATCCCTATACCACAGACAATCATGGATGTTGTTTGTCTGTGTTTTCACTGGATGTTTATGAGCTACTGCCCCCTTACTATAGTAAGTGGCTATACAACTCTACTGTCAAAGCAATGCAGAAAATACTTCTTGGGATTCTAATACATACCAGGTACTTCAGATACCAAAATAAACGAAATACAACCTGTATCTTCAAGGAGTTCAGAGTTTACCAAGAGGGACATTTGACCCAACAAATAATCCCTACTATATAGAGCACAAAATACACAGGGAACACAGAAAAGTGGTTAGCTATTTAGTTCTATCATTTGGGGGTCTAGGAAAGGCTTTGCAAAGGAGCTACCATCAGATTTGGATTTTGAAACAATAATAACAATTTGACAGGTATCATGGGACAAAATTCCTAGCGGAGGAATTCTTCATGTATAACTCTGCCCACAAAACTTTAATATTTTTGAGAAAAAGGCTCTATATTTCATATCTATAACCACAACTCCTCACCACCACTATATATGAATCACAAAAAGAATGATAAATGTTTATTAAAAGTTATTGAATTAATCATACTGCATAAATGTCACATAGACAAAACATTAAATAATATTACATGCCAAAACTATGTTCTATATCCCTAGCATGGGGGTCAACTGTACATGGTATGATCAAAAAATAAAGTGATTGTTTAACCATTTTTTTTAAGTATTAAATTAAAAGGCATATTTCTTTTCATCTCTTTCAAAATATTTCCCCTCCCTTTGGACATACTTATCTCGTTGTTCTTGTCACATTCTGAAGCAGTTCTGAATGTCCCCTTTCATAAGTGTCATTAGTTGCACTGTTGCCACTGCCGCCATGCCCTGAATCCATTCAGAATAGTTATCTTTCAAGGCCATTTTGACTTTCAGAAAGAGCTAAAAGTTGCTTAGTGTCCAATCTGGTGAATAAGGTAAGTGAAGACACACTGCAGTGTTTTTATGAACCTACCCTTCTGTGGAAGAGCACTTGGCCTCAGCAGTCACCATGTTTTTGAGCGCACTTCACAAAGACACTCACATGAAGACACTGCTTCAGAAAGTGGCAGGCGCTTGTAGGGGATATAGCTCAGCAGCACAAGCACCTGCCTGGCAAGAACAAGGTCCTGGGTTCAATTCTCAGGATGAAAAAGAAAGAAAAGAAAGTGGCAGGAGCAAGGGGAAGGGAAAGAAAGTAAAATGAGTTAAGATGGGACATGCATATGCACTAACAGCCCGGGACATACTCACTATGCATCACAAACGTGTACTTATAAAAGAAAAAAAGAACAAGGGGATAAGTGTGTTTGAAATGAGGGGAGTATTTTCAGGGGGATTCATGTCAATGTGTCTTGATTTTATTTAAATATTCACTATATTTTGACACACCTTGAATTGCTCCTTGACTAGTTACTTTTAATTATTTTTCTTATAAACATAATAATTTCAATAGGAACATTGTTTTCACTGAGCCTCATGATACACACCACTGCCTCTGCATGTTCAACAGAAACACAACAGCCAGACCAGTCTGGGCCTGTTAATAGATAGACAGTAATTCAATTCAAGGAACCAGAGACCATTTCTGCCTTCATAGCCGGATAGTTAAGTGTGTGATGCTATATACCTACAAAATTTCTACTGATATTTGGGGGAGATTAATGCATAGGTCAATGTAATTTCAGTGAAATTCAACAAATTTATATGGAGGAAATTAAACAAACAGCACTTGAATTTAGAGTTTGCTTGCTGAGCCTGTGAAAAACAAATCACCTGAAAAGCTCTCCACAGCCCCCTTCTGCTGGACACTTTTGTGTAGATTCACACAATCGGTTTTCTTTTCTTTTTTTTGGTACCTGGAATCGAACTCAGGAGGTCACGCTTGCCAGGCAGATGCTGTGCCACTGAGCTATATCCCTGGCCCCACATAACGGTTTTTCAAAAGCATGTCCAGCACAAGATTGGCCCTCATATTGGCCATAAACAACAACTGACTGCCTACAAGTCTACGTACCAAACAGGTAATGTCTTTTGGCGCCATTGTCTCCACTTTTCTTTTTCTGAGTAGTAAAATCTGAGAACAGTTAATGCAATTTGAGAAACAATGTCTGTAAAACAATGTGCTGCATGATCATTGAACCTGGATTAGTATTTATGAGACAGCTCCTAGCTACACATTTACCTTCAGGTTTGTGTGGGAAAAAATTTTTTTTCAGTGAATCTTTGAAGAAATAGCTTGAAAAAATGAAGTTTAACTGGGTAGACACATAAGCAAGTAGATTACAATACAGAATGTATAACAGCAAAATCAAGAACTGAGCCGCTCCAAGGCTTGGAGGGAAGAATCAGCTTTGTTTACACCTCGGACGACCCGGATTGTTCCTGAAGTCAGGCCCAAAGGCTCAGGGAGGGAGGTTTTCAATGGGGTAGCAAAGCGTAAGTTCAAAGGCACTCGTCACTGAGGATTGGTTCTTACAATGCACATCATAGTAACCAGCGTTTCTGGGAAACAGAAGTAACAGGAGCTAATAACAGGAATGGAAGTAAACTGGAGGTTACTGGGCAACAGTAACTATCGAAAACTTAAGTATACTGGCTGGGTGGCCATTTTCTGCTATAAATGAATTACTGTCTTGGCCAAAGCTGTATACCAAGGGCTAATTTTAAAAGGTGAAATGAATTTTGTAGGAGGGAAGTTAAGGATACTAGGAATGGAAGTTAAGATGAAGTGGAGGTGGGAAAACCTTAAGAAAAGTAGTGGTAATGGACTTGAGCTGCACCTTAGGCCTTCTTAAACCTACACAAGAAAAAATAACCGAGAGAAAAATACACTAATGTGACCACCACGTTTACAAAACCAAACTTAAGTAGTCCAAATGTGAAGCTACAATTCACAATGGACTTTTACCATCCAGTCAAGAACACTGACCTCTGAAGGGGAAAAATCTGTGAAAAACCCTCCTCTGGAGGAATTAGGGAAGTTGAGGAAACCATCAAGTGAAATGAAAAAATTGCAACTAGTTTGCTGTACTATTCATTTAATTCTCATTCTATACAAAGGCATTTATCTAATGTTTAAACAAAAATAAAGATCTACAAAATCCTTTTCCTCTTTACTGGCAGTCAAAGGTGCATCTTTCAGGACTTTCTGTATTCACCTTTCCCCATCAATAAAAACAAACCAAATCTCATTTCTGAAAGATCAACATGGAGTAGGTATACAAAACAATCTTTAATTTACTCAGCCATCGTAAATCAGGTTAGAAATAGGGATTCCTTGGGACAAGTAGTAGCAACACTGCATTTGAACTCTTAGTCCATTGGTATCCGCTGCATCCTAGCCCTGACTTCCTTCACTGAGTCCAAGCAGAGGACACACGAGTGAGGAGTGAAACCCAGTAAATATTCAGGATACATTTCCCGTTTCTGTTTTAAACTGATAAAGACGAGTCTCAAATGTGATTTATCAATACGTTCTTTGCTGAGGCCCCAAAGCACAGATGGTGGTGTTTCCGTAGGGAATGTTTTCCTTGCCATATTACCAGAATGTCCCTCCAGCTTCCCACTCTCGACAGGCTCATTATCACCTGTCAGATTCTGATTGCTCGGCCCTTTTTCATTCTCACCTATCTTTTTCCAGGTAAAATTTTTTTGTTATAAGCCAGGAACATATCCATTGCATGATGACCTTCACTCAAAGAAAAAAAATTACTTGCCTGAAAAATGCCCTCTTTCTGTCTATCTCTATTTTAGAGTCCTTTCTCATTTACAAATTATAAAAATATTTTATGGACTTGGCATTTCTTTAACTTTTGTTTCATTATTCATGTACTTTTTTCCCTGTAACCAGGGTTGTCATCTATATTTGCTAAGAAATAAATGCTTCATTGTGTAACTTGTTTTAAAAATACCATACACGTAGGAACTAAGTAAAAACCTGATGAAAATGACAATGCTTCAAATTATTTCTCATAATATGGTTTTGTTATTTTAGCAATTTAAAATTATATATATATAATATATAATATATAACATGTATATAATATATATCCCAAACTAAACATTTTAAAGCAGTTCAACCATTCAAATGATTGGAAACTTTAAAACAAATATTGTATTTCTAAAAATTTATCCTGAAAAAATTATGAGAGAAAAAGGACAGCTATCTATGTACAAAAAAGGTCAATAAAACTCTATTTATAATAAAAAATGGAAGCAACCTATATATGAAACAATAGGAAAGTGAATAACTTAGATATATTCATATAATAGATCATAAGAAAAATGTAAGTTCATTCTAATAGCATAGTATTAGGTTGAAATATTATAATAAAAAGCTACAATTAAATAGTTCTTTTTTAAAATTAGCAGCAGAAAGAAAAACAAGCTGGGGCTGGGGATTTAGCTCAGCGGCAAATGCGCCTGCCTGGCAAGTGCAAGGTCGTGAGTTTGGTTCCCGGTACCGGAGAAAAACCAAAAAACAAAAAACAAGCTGAGAGAATAAACACTCAAATGCTGACATGTTTGTTTCTTTCAATAGAAGTAAGAGTGCTGTTTTCTTTTTTTTATTTTTGAAACAGGGTCTCACTATATAGTTCAGGCTAACCTTGAACTCACTATGTAGCCCAGGCTGATTGAAAACTCATGGCAGTCCTCCTGCTCAGCCTCACAAGCGCTGGGATTACAGGAATGTGCCACTCTATCCAGGTTTGAATGCTGTTTTCTTTCTTTACATTTTGTTTTTTTAGTGAACCTTTAATAAAGGGAAAACATATATTTTTATAATTATAATAACCTGGTCAAGTCTAATATTTCATTTGTATTATTCAAATACTGTATTATTGCATTTATTATTAAACTTTAAAACACTGTAAAATGATTTTTTATGGCTGTTCATTATTTGAGAAAACTAAAGCAGTCATTCGGTTGTTTGCTAGTGTCAGTTTGAAATGAGAAGACTGAAACCACTGAATAAACATAGATTTTGAATTTCTCCTAATTTTATTTCAAGACGTTCCTACTTATCTAGTAGCTAGTAAGTAACCTTTAACTTTCAACCCATGTACATTTCCAGTCACGGGCAAGCTTTAGGAAAGTCCTCAAGCACAATGAATGTAGAAATTACTACAATATTAAGTATTAAATAAACCAAACTTCTCTTCCTTCAGATCTCTAAAATAACTTCCAAATACCATTAACACTGATTAATGAATATTCTAAAGCTAATACCATTTTATCCAGACCTACGAGAGCCTCAGTGCCACCACTGCCTTCTGTCCAGGGCCGTAGGAATCCCACTGGCAGTTAACTGGAGAGGAAGCATTGTCTCAGGGTCAAAGTGGCCACTGTGAGGCAGGTAAAGAGACGAGCACATAAAGAACACACAGAAATGATCAAAAATAGTCCAAATTTTTTCAAAATTATTTTCCTAAGAGATGCTGAAAGTTTCCTAAGATATATTAAAGCATAGGAAAAGGAGCTCATTTATTAAAGATTAACATTGATTAAACATCTATTATATACGTGGTACTATTGAAAAACACGGAAATAATAAAAGAGGTATATCATGGACCACGGATAGAAAGAAGGGCAGAGATGTGGATTTACAAGTAACTAATCAAAATACAATATGTTTAATTTAATAAATTCCATAACAGAGATGTTACAACTGAAGGTGCTGTAGAAATACAGATAAAAGAATGTTCAGAGAGTTGGAGAGACAGGCGAGGACACACAGGAGAAAAGTTTTATGCCTTTGAAGGGACTATGAATGATGAGTTGAGGAGTTATCCAAAAAGTTAACTGAGAGACAAGAAACTGTAAATTACCCTGTGAAAATGGATCAAAGATCTAAATGTTAATAGAAATACTTAGCTGGTGGAAGAGAAAATAGGTAAAACACTTGAAGACATAGGCATAGGCAAAGACTTTCTGAACAGAACCCTAATGGCAAAAGAAATAATACTGGGAATAAACAAATGGGATAATACCAAATTTAAAAAGCTTCTAAACATCAAAGGAAGCAACCAAAAGAATAAAGAAACACCTACAGAATGTGGGAAAAAATTGCCTGCTAGGCCTCAGACAGAGACTAACATATAGAAAATGTAAAGAATTCAAAATAATTAGACCTCCCCAAATTAAAAGACCTAATGAAAAGTGGACAACTGCCAGGGATGTGGCTCACTGGCAGAGTGCCTGCCTTGCAAGCGCAAGGCCCTGAGTCTGATTCCCTGTACCCCAAAAAAAGTAGGCAACTGAAATGAATAGACGCTTCTCAGAAAAAGTATAAATACCAATAAATACATCAAAAAGTGTTCAATATCACTGGCCACTAGAAAAATGCAAATTAAAATGAAACTAAGATTCTATCTTACTTCAGAAAGAACGGCCATCAAAAAAAAAAAAAAAAAGAAAGAAAGAACGACCATCATCAGGAAATCAAATAATAACAAATGCTGATCAGGGGGACTGGGGATTTAGCTCAGCGGCACAGCACCTGCCTGGCAAGCACGAGGTGGTGAGTTCCATTCCCGGTACCAGAAAAAAACCAAAACCAAATAAATAAATAAATAAATAAATAAATAAATAAATAAATAACCAAATGCTGATCAGACTGCAGTGGGAGAAAGGAACCCTTCTACATTGACGGTGCAAATGTAAACTTGTAAACGACTATGGAAATCAGTATGAAAATTCCTTAAATGCCTAAAAATAGAAATTCCATTTGACACAATTCTTCCCATTCAAGGTATCTTCCCAAAAGAGTTAATGACATTAGAGTACAGAGATACATGCAAACCCGTGTCGACAGCAGTACAATTCATAATAGCTGAATCTTGAAAGCAGTCTATATGTCCAGCAACAGAGGAATGAATAACAAAATTGTAGTATATACAGTGGAGTCCTACTCTGTCATAAAGAAAAATAAATTTGACTCAAATGTAGAAAAATGGATGCCATAATGTTAAATAGAACAAATCAGCCATGCAGGTTTAAGTGTCACATGATTTCTCTGATATGAGGAATCCAAAATATAAATAAAAAATAAAAGAAAGGATAATAGAAAGTAGGGAGATAGTTTTTTTAATGAAAAGGAGATCAAGAGATGCAGGGAGGAAAATAAAATGAAAGCCAAAAAAAAAGATGACCCTGTGAGGTATAGGAAACTCAAAAATTAGCAAAGGTTAAGCAGACAGTAATTTCTATTTAAATGTTCCCCGTGTTCACTTAGGTTATTTGTCAAGCACACACCAAGCAGGGCAATGCGAGCTTAAGCAATTCTACTGAAAGTACTTGTGGAACTGGAGCGCTGGTGCTTGTTTTGATTACCACCTGTGGAGGAGAGTACCTGGCCTACCCCTAAGAGACTGAGAAGGACCTGCCAAAACAGAAAAACCAGGATTCCCAATTTCTCGATTCTTAGCACATCTTGTAGGTGAGAGACATCTTGAGCCAAAGTGATTATTAAAAAAGTGTATCATAAGAGAGTAAGATTACCTTGAATGAAATAAAGCCCATTCTTCAGTGTATACAGCTCAGGGCCTTTTATGGAACCAGTCTTGAGTATCTTGATCCTTAAACAATCTGAACTTATTGTTGTTTACTTTGTGTCCCAGGGACAGTTAGAGGCCCTCCCCCAACACATAGGCTTCCAAAGGAAAGCTTGCTTAGCCTTCTCTTCTCCATGTACAATGTCACCCAGTTCAGGACCTCAGGATCTGAATAACCTAGGAAACCCTCAGTGCCATCCCACACCTCTTTGTAACCCAGGTCTTGAAACATATTCTGATAGTTCCATCAAGTGATCTGACCTGCTCCCATCAATCTGACAGTGAAAGCAAAACAAGGTCATGAGTAAATGGTTCTCACTTTTTTCCAGGTCTCAAGAGTCGATTAATCTATTTTCTTAAAATGCTCTCAACCTGATTGTCCCTCAGACAAAGGGCTTCTATATAGAACATATAAAGAATTTAAAAATATCAGCCTCTCCAAATTCAAAGACCCAATCCAAAAATGGGCAGCAGAGATGAATACACACTTCTCAGACAAGAAGATACAAATGGCTGAGGACCATACAGGGGCTGAGGACGATGGGGTGGGGAGCAGGGTTGATGGGGAAACAATGGTCAGAGGATAAAATTTCAGTTGGACAGGAAGAATAAGTTTAAAGAATAGACATAGTGACTGTATTATGTAATAATGTTTTGCATTCTTGAAAATTGCTGAGAGTATATTTTAAGCGTTCTCATCACAAATGTAAGTATGTGAGGTAATACATATGTTAATTAGACCAGTTGAGCCTTTGTAGAATGTTTTGTATTGTAAAATACGATGTACATAAGTATACACAATTTTACTTTTAATTTAAAAAATAAAATGTAAGGTAAAAAAATGTACATAATTCTGTGGACACTGTCTCCTGCTGTTGTTCATTTGTGTAGACAACCAGGGACTGAGCAGTGCATAGGCAAATCGAATACACTTCACCAATTTAAATGGCCTCAAGCATTTCCTTAGGGTGTCATCATTTTTTGGTCCCTGACTCTGCTCCCTCTCTTCTAATTTCAACCAGCAAGTGAACACCCAGGTGGGAGAGAAAGCCCGGAAGACGCAGCAGGGATGATGGCTGAAGAGTTAAATGGGAAAGGAACTCTGGGACTATGTAATCAAAAGTGCAGGTGCAAGCTGTAGGCAGAGGGCGGGGTCTCTCATTCCTCAGTACTGTGGGTGGTTCCCTCAGTGCTTACAACATCTCTGACCCCTTTTATAATCATCTTTCTGTGATAGCACAAGCCTAAATATTGAGGATCTGAGAAGTTACAAAAATATATGCAAAGTGTGATTCTATTTCATTTAACCTTGTATGTCTCTATTTATTTTCTTGAGTAACCACTTTGAAGATATCAATATGTAATACAAAAACCATTGTTAATTTCCTACCACTTTGTCTATAACTCTGTATTGCTTGTATTGTTCTCATGCTATTTTGTAAATGGATGTCTATTTGTTAATATGTTTCCTTGTTTTATTTTTAAAATAAATAAAAAAAGAAAATTCAAACACATTAAAAAACAAATCTAGAAAGAAATATAACAAAGGATAATAGTTTATTTCTGGTTGTGAAATTATAGGTAGTTTCCATTATCTCATTTTTATTTATATCTACTTGACTTTTACTGACAATTGAAGGTGAGGATGCATAATTAAAATCTTTACTGGTAACTCTAAGAATATCACACTCATTCAATTTACAACTTAGTTTAAAAGGCCTTAAAATCATCCTATTCCACATTTCAAGAGGCCAGTGTTCTTTTGTCCTCTACCTGAATTTCCAAGCATCTTTTCTCTCATTATGTCTATGGAGTTTCTTCACAACATTTTTTCCCAGACTTTTGCCCTAGCCTTCCTACATCAACCAACTTCTAATTAGGCATCTTGGCTGGGTGTGGTGACACGCCTGTAATCCCAGCATTCAGGAGGCTGAGGCAGGAGGATCATTTGGAGTTCAAGACCAGCCTGGACAACAAAGTGAGCTCAAGGCCAGCCTGACTGCATAATGAGACCCTGTCTCAAAAAGACCAAGATAACAATAATCATAATCATAATCATAATCATTAGGCATCTTTCTTTTAGTTATAAAATCCTACTTGTCTACTTCTGGATTTTATACTTCCAATAAATCTTTCAGTCTATAATCCAGGAACTGTGGACAACAGAGAAAGAGTAAACAATGATGAAGGAAGCTATGAATAAATTTTGCCTTTTCAACAAATGTGAAGCATATCATTTTTAAGATTTTTTAAATAAGGAATGGATAAAAAATTGTAGTACTTTTATACAATGGAATATTACTCAGCTATAAAGAGAGATAAACTCGAGGCTTTTACAGGTAAATGGTCTCAACTAAAGACCATAGTCATAAATTAAATAAACCAGACCTCCACGTGTAAGCAGTGTATTGTCTCACTAGTGTAAGAACCTGAAAGAGTGAATAAAAATTAGGAGGTATGACAGATTTGTGAAATGAAAGGAAAATACTCAAAGTAAAGAACAACTGGGATGAGGGAAAAGAAAGAAAGATGGGGAAATTATGTATGTATGTGTATACAGGATAGCTAACATAGTTGTACTACTGACTTCTATCGCTTTACTGAAAGGAACAGTTAATGATTACTTCTTTGATCAATCTTGCATGTCTCTATTTGTTTTCCTGAGAAACCACTTTGAGATATCAATATATAATACAACAACCATTGTTAATTTCCTACCACTTTGTCTGTAATTTAGTACTGCTTGTATTGTTCTTATGCTATTTTGCAAATGGATGTCTGTTTCTTAATGTTTTCCTTGTTTTATTTTTAAAATAAATTTTTAAAAAGAAAAAAAGATTTTTTTAAAAAATTACAGCCTATATAAGTTTTCTTTCTCAACTATGGACCTTTCTTCTGTGTTATGGCAACTCTTTGTTTCTCTCTCTGAGAGAGCATGTCACATAGCTTTATTCATTACCCTTAGGCATTAACAAATAGTCACAGCTTCAGAAAATAAAACTTGTAGAAAATCTAATATTCAAACTTCAGTGTATCATTAATTTTAATTTTCTCCCCTACTTCCCGTTGCTGAGTGCTTCTAATAGGAAAGGTGTGGGGTCCACTTCAAAAGCCTCCACCTTTCTCTTTCACCCAAGTGGTTCAAGTTGCCTGTCTTCTTCAAAGTCACAACAGCAGTACGGAGAGCAATAAGAGTCAGAAAGGATCTTGCTTGATTGACACCATAGGATTCTGGTGATGGTAAGTCAGAGTGTAGGTATTTGAATGCTGGTTCTTCCTCTCTCATTGTGTTTTGTTGCTGCTTGGTGGTCTCCCTACTGGCCAGCTGATAAGCACTCTGACCTAGCACAAATGATTCATTGCTTGACCTTCATCACTTTCCACCTCCTAGGAGTCCTTTCTGTGTTGACGCCCTGTGTTAGGGTTGCTTCATCCTGTGTATGGTCAGTCTCTCAGGCAGACTTCTTGACTGTCACAACTAGGCTCTGTGTGTGTCTGTCTGTCTCTCTGTCTGTCTGTGTATGTTACTGAATATTGAACCAAGGGCCTTTATATCTCCAGTTCTGTTTTATTTTTTATTTTGATTTCAGGTCTTGCTAAATTGTCTAACTACCTCCCTTTAAGGTCCACCCCTAGTCCATGGGCCACCTGCACATATCCTTGCCTGCCAGACGTTGAATGTTCAGGCTGTATTGAGAGCTGCTGAGCTGATCTTCTTTGCCAAAGGCAGACCTATGCCTTCAGTTTTTCCTCAAATGAACATCAAGTATCATTCTCTTTTTTCTTCATACTTCAAGGAACAAGAGCTTGCATATTGTTGAATTTGGGGATGTCAGGAGAGTCACCAGACAGACTTAAGCTTACTCTTTTTACAATATTGCATAGAAGGTCCAACATCTCACTTTAAAATCTGTGAATTTTGACTCCTATTCAATATAGTTTTGGAAATATTAGCTAGAGCAATCAGACAAGAGAGAGAAATAGGAGGAATAAGGATAGGAAAGGAAGAAGTAAAATTAACACTATTTGCAGATGCCATGATATGCTACATAGAAGACCCCAAAAACTCCACCAGAAAGCTTATGGATTTAACAACCAAATTAGTACCTTAGCTGGATACAAAGTTAACACCCCAAAATCAATAGCATTCCTATACACAAGCAACAGACTGAGAGAGAAATTAGGGAAAGCACACCTTTCATGATAGCATCTAAAAAGATGAAATACTTGGGAATCAATTTAACAAAAAAAGATCTATATAGTGAAAATTATAGTACTCTGAGAAAAAAGGATATCAGAAAATGGAAAGATATTCCTTACTCATGAATAGGAAGAATCAACATTGTGAAAATGCCTATACTCCTAAAATTTTTGTACAGATTCCATGCAATCCCAATTAAAATACCATTAGTATACCACACAGATCTAAAGAAAACACTCCCAAAGTTCATCTGGAATGAGAAGAGGCCTAGAATAGCAAAAGCAATCCTGGGAAACAAAGGAAAGGCAGGAGGCATCACAATTCCCGACTTGAAATTATATTACAAAGTTACTGTGATAAAATCATCATGAAAAAAATTAAAAAAAAAAATCAGCATGGTACTGGCACAAAAACAGACCTGAAGATCAATGGAATAGATTAGAAGATACAGACACAACTACAAACACACTCAGTCATTTTATCTTTGACAAAGGGGCCAAACATGTTCAATGGAAGAAAGATAGCCTCTTTAATAAATGTTGCTGGAAAAACTGGCTTTCCACATGCTGAAGACTAAAACAGAACCCATGTCTTTCATGATGCACTAAATTAAAGTCAAAATGGATCAAAGATTTAAACATTAAAACAGAAACACTAAATTTATTAGGAAAGAAGGTAGGTAAAAATCTTGACACTGGGGTAGGCAGAGAGTTCATGAACAAAAACCATGCTGTACAGAAAATACTTCACAGAATCAACAACTGGGATCACATCTATTGAAAAGTTTTTGTACACCTAAGAAATCACAAACAGAGTAAAAAGAAAACCCATGAATTGGGAAAAAAATTTAGCCAATTGCCCCTCAGACAAAGGACCTCTATCTAAGACATATAAAGAATTAAAAAAAATCAGGCTTCCTAATTTCAAAGACCCAATCCAAAAATGGGCATCTGAGATGAATATACATTTCTCAACTGAAGAAATATAATGGCAAATAAATACATGAAAAACTGTTCAACATCATTAGTCATTCAAGAAATGCAAATTAAAACAACACCGAGATTCCATCTCACCCCAGAAAGAATGGCTGTCATCAAGACATCAACCAATAACAAATGCTGGAGAGGCTGTGGGGAGAAAGGAACCCTACTCCACTGCTGGTGAGAGTGTAGATAGGTGAAACCACTGTGGAAATCAGTTTGGAGATTCCTCACAAAACTCGGATTGGAAGCCCCATTTAACCCAGCTATCCCCCTTCTGGGTATTTTCCCAGAAGAATTAAAAATATCATACCACAGCTATACATGTGCACCCATGTTTATAGCAGCACAATTTGTTATAGCTAAATCTTGGAAACAACCCAAATGCCCATCCACTGAGGAATGGATAAAAAAGATGTGGTAGTTTTATACAATGGAGTATTACTCAGCTATTTAAAAAGAGAAAGTTGAGGCTTTTTAGGTAAATGGATGTAACTAGAGACCATACTCATAAGTGAAGTAAATGGGATCCACATGTGTAAACATCACATTGTCTCCTTGGTATAAGAACCTGAAAGAATAAGTAAAACTCAAAATGTACAACAGATGATAGGAAAGGGAAAGAAACTGCTCAAAGGAAGGAATGACTGTGATGAGGGAAAAAAGAAAGAAGGAAGGCAAAATATAAATATATGTATGAATAGCTGTGATAACTGTATTGCTGATGTCTGATGGTATATTGAAAGGAACAGTTAATGCTTACAATTTTTTATGTTCTGATCAATTTTGCATGCTTACATCTGGTAATCTGAGCAACTGATTCGAAGGTAACAATATGCAATGGAATTACCATGGTGAATCTTGTCTAGTGAAACTCTGTAGTATCTCTGATGTTTTATCTAATAATTATTTTCTTATTCTCTTCACTGGTTTTAACACTCTTCCATTCTTACATCTGGTAATCTGAGCAACATAGTTGAGGACAGAGAAATGTAATACAACCACCACTGTTAATTCATACTATTTTGTCTTGAAATCCTGTATCACTTTAAATGTTCTTGCTTTGGTTTGTTTATGTTTGTGATACTGGTATGCTGCTATTGTTCTTTTTGTTTTGTTTTGTTTGTCTCTCATTTACTACTCTCTTTAAAATATTTTTTTAAAAATGTAAAAAAAATGAAAAAATAAAATCTGAGAGTTCTGAACATTGTTCTTGATTTTTGACTCAGCCAAAAAACATACATCATGAAAGACTCACATTTAACATCCTGATACATAGAGTGTTTTGTTTAGTTTGTTTGATTTTGTTTTTTGAGACAGGGTCTTTGGCTGTGAATCTACTATGTCACCCTGGCTGACCTCAAATGCATCATCTTCCTATGTCAGTCTCCCAGATGCTGGAATTACAAGTGTGCACCATCATGCCCAGCTTAATATATGGTTGTAAAAGAATTTCAGCCAAGTTTTAGGGAATAAACTTTTCACTATAAATATCTTTACCACCACCTGCCCCACAAATCTACCCCGTTTTTAGTCCATCGGGGTCAGCTTATTGCAAGGCCAGGTGTGTTCAGAGTGATACAAGCTGAGTCCACTAACAAAAACATATCAAAACTTTGTGGTTAAGTCCCTGAAATGGAAGCAGTTATTACTCCTCCCTTTCAGAAAGAATATCATGGCAAATAAGCAAGGGAGATAAAATAGTCACAAATGAATAAACAGCTACATGAATGACAGAGATAGATATGAATTGGCTCTATAATAGAATAAGCTTAGAATTAACTAGGTTGTAAGATAGGACAGTTTTGTTCTGTGTTAATGTAATTCAGCTAGAACTACAGCCTCATGATTGTCTTCTGTTCATTCTCATGCCTGGATGAGTTGTAGCTCTACCTGCTGCTTCTGATATGGTCCAACTGTAGCCCTCATCTAAGACATCACTGTTTTTTGTTTGTTTGTTTGTCTTTTTGAGACAGGGTCTCACTATGCAGTTCAGGCTACCCTTGAGCTCACTTTGTAGCCCAGACTGGCCTCAACTTCCCAACAGTCCTCCTGCCGCAGCCTCCCGAGTGCTGGGATTACAGGCATGCCCCACCACGCCTGGCCTACGACATGGCTATTTCTGAGCATGCCCTAGGTTCACAGACTCCAGACTGGGTTTACTTCTAGGGAAATACCATAAATGCCTGAACACAGGCATTAGCAAAAGAGCTCTCTTGGAGTTGCAGTCCTTCTGAAACATCTTAGACCTAAATTATCTCGTATAAAGGAGACATTGGGAGATCGAAAGGGGATTCCGAAATCATCCCTCTGAATTAATTTACATAGATGGAGGAGGAGGCAGAAGATTATTCTCCTTTAAAAGGCGAGGCATGGAAACCATTTCTGATTTCTAAAGAGTCAATAGATTTCCCAAATGTCCTTTCTTTGAAATACATCCTAAAAACACGGTCTTTCTAATTTACTTGAAAAATAAAAATATCTGCCTTCAAATATAGGTAGGATTTCAGCATGCAACTTGGAGTGAAACCATTGCTTTCTTTGTTGGTATTATATCAACCAATTAAAATACAAAAGCATACTTATTGTCACATTAAGATGCCCATAAAAAAATAATAAGGTGCCCATAAGTGAATGTGAAATACATTTTAATCACAAAACAATTGTTAAGATGCCCCCCATAAAATAAAGAACTTGATTGATAGTTAATAGAAATATTAGGAAGAAATAAGTGTTAGCTAGATGACTTTAGTGAGAGTATCACATTCTTTTTGAGCTAGCAAATAGTTCAAAATTTTAAATAGAAATACAAGGTAGAGCAATAGGGATTAAATTGTATCACAACTCTAACTTTGTAAGTCTACTTAGCAGTGTAGCATCCTAACATTTAAAAAATTAAATGTGTGATGTGTGCTTAATCTTTAGTTATTAATTCCATATAAGGCAAAAGTCATTCAAGACCTGCGTCTTATTCCTCCTCTTACCCCATTAGGGAGCGAGCTTGAACTCACACTGCAAAAGGAAAGCACGGTGATGGCGGACACACTCCAGCAGCTTCTGGGCTGCAAAATCCTTACTCCAATATTACAGTGCAACTGTTTTAAAGTCTAAATGAAAAATTTAAAATAATTAAAAATTTTACTTATTTTTGCATCCTAAATTTTAAGTCTATGACAGTGATTTCTGTCTTTAGTCTGTGTGTGTGTGTGTGTGTGTGTGTGTGTGTGTGTTGAGTGGGGACTGAACCCAGGGCCTTCACACTGAGCCCTATCCTCAGCCTCTTTTTCTTTTATTGTTTAAAGCAGGATCTTGCTAATTTGCTAAATTGCCCAAGCTGAACTCTAACTTGTGTTCCTCCTGTCTCAGCCTCTCAGAGCACAGGGACTACAGGAGTGCATCACCACACCCAGCTCTGTCTTTGGTCTTGTCTTTAACTGAACAGTAGTTTTTTTAAAAAATATTCGACCATTTTGCACTGATCCAACATATGCACTTGGTAAACATTTTCATTTCATCACTTGACCTTCACCACTGCCCATCTACTTGTATCTTCTACTCTCACAGTCCTCACCCTTTCATTCAGGATCTCAAATTCTAAATTTCCAAGTGTGCAAATTCACTTCCCTATAAAGCTCTTAGAAAAGTCCACCTAAGTCTCCCTGCATGTCTCCAAGTCAAAACAAACAAAGATACTGAAGAAAAACTTTTCCCTATGAAATTTTTATTTTGTTTTTCTTTGTTTGTTTGTTTGTTTTGGGGGGGGCGTTTTTTCCAGTACCGGGAATCGAACTCACGACCCTGTGCTTACCAGGCAGGCACTGTGTTGCTGAGCTAAACCCTCAGCTCCCCCCCTGTGAAATTTTTAGCTTTCTTATAAACACTTTTTAATTCACTATTCCTGGCCATCTGAATATATCCTTTAATTAAAAATAAGAAACATTACTTCACTTATCCAAATTATTACTACAAATAATTTTAATAATTTTAAAAAATAAGAAAACGAATTTATTTTGGCTGAGCTATTAAAATATATTTAAATAACAATTTTAAAGTTACTTCCAGGCCAGGAATATAGCTCAGGGGCACAAGCACCTGCCTAACAAATGCAAGGTCCTGAGTTCGATTCCTGTACCAAAAAAAAAAAGTTACTTCCAGATACTTCTCTCTATAGCTTCCCATTTCCTGCCTACTTGATTCCTTACAGTTAAGTATTACCTTCCTCTTGAGATAGCTTTATTTACAAAAAGAATGAGATTATCATTACCTTCATGCTTGGAAAAACATTCAGAGCAGAAGAAAGTGGGAAATTTTCCTCTGTAAGGGCCCAGTAAATTTTCAACAGCAGGAAGGGGCCAGCAAGCAGTCTCCCCCTCAGCCTCTCCCTCTGCTAGATTATCTTAGCACTCTTTTATAGAGCAAGTATTCTGAGACCTAGTTCCTACCCAACTAGATTCACTAGGGACACAAAGAGCTTCCCTCTGTACTTCATCTGTGCCTTGAAGCCAGATGCATCTTATCAATTACACAAAGTTTAGCTACAGCCAATTGGAGCTGTTTTGAAGATAAAGATATGTTTCTGAGAAATGCATCTGTAAATCAAGAAAGACAGCAAATGCTCTTAGTTCAATTTTTAAGAGATTTCTGACCAAAAGAGACCCTGTGTAGGGCAAACGATAAGCCTCCTTCCTGCTTCAATCAACTAAACTAAGCAGATGTTTTCAGTATTCTCTTGAAGAACATTACAGTCCAGACTTTGAGATTAAATCCTTTGTGGAGGAAAAGATCTTGTCTTGGTTCATTGCTATAACAAAATATCCGAGACTAGAGTTTTATTAAATAGAGGGTGTTTTCCATAAGGGTTCTAGAGGATAAGTCCAAGAACACCATGCCAGCATCTGCTCAACCTATGGTGAAGACCTCCTCACTGCGTCATTCCATGGCCCAGCACATCTCACGGAGATGCCTCCTTGAGTCTCTTTCCCTCAGTGTATAAAACCATTGATCACTGCTCCCCTGTCATGACCTCATCTAATGCTAACTACTTTCCAAAGGCCCCACCTCCAAATGCAATTAACACCTATGAGTATAGGTGTTAAGTTTCTAACACATGAAATTCTGGGGGCCACTTTCAAACCATAGGAGATTTAAGTGAAAACAGAACAATCTGGTATGGAATTTTTCCCAAAACAAAATATAGCCTCAGAAAGTGTAATATCTGTCCTTCCATGATTAACTTATGCAGAATAATCACAAAGACAGCATCATTTGCTGCAAACATATTTCAGAGAATCACTCATTTCCTCAAGAACTTCCCATAATCTTTTAACATTCAGATCTCCATGTTGGAAAGATCTTAGCAAGGTCATCATCCATTTGAAGGCCATCTTTTTCACAGATTTTATGAAAGGTTGCATTTTTTTGCAAGATTTCAGATTTATTACTGGAATTGACAACTTTATTTGTGTTGTTCAACTAAATATGCAAGTTGTTACAGTACTATGGGTAATGTACACTTAAGTGTTAATCAGGGAAGGAAATTTGAGCTGACAATAATTTTAAAGGTAAGCATTCCATTAGTGAATACTTTCCAGTGGTAGTGACTTTTTCTTTCTGTATCCAAAGCTCTTAGATAATAGGAATAAGTCCTCCATGCCCCTCTCAGTGTGGGTTTTCCAGAGACAAAGACGTATATTTTGTTCACATGCTTTGTAACATGTGTAGAGGAAATTTTGCCCTGACTCTTGAAATATTTTTCTATTCAACTACGAATTTCCAGTTGCTGTGGGTTCTTAAGTACTCGATGTGCAATTGTACACCAAGCATCACTTTTAGTTTGGGTTCCCCCAGTATATTCAGACGTTTTGTTTGTTTAGTTTTGTTTTGAGAGGTGATCCTGAAGGTGTTCTTTTGGCAGTGGAGACACAAGACTGGGAAGAAAAGTAATAAAGCAGGTTTCATAGAGCAAGAGATTGCAGTGCATTTGAGCTAAGTCCCGGGGAGGAACCCAGAGAGACATTACAGATTACGCCACAGAGTTAGTCTAATTAAGAGGTAAGGAAACTAGGCTATTTCTCCACCAATACTCTGTCAACTGCTGATGTTGGCCTCTTCACTGAGTCTGGTACTTTCAGGTTGCCCTGAAGACAGCTCACACACCTACAGTTAGAATTAAAAGATCCTAAGGTAGAGAGTGTCAAATATCTGCCATATATGCAGGTGTTTGCCTTTGTCCTCTAGGCCCAAGTGCTAAGGGGATATGGACATGACACTAACAGCACCTCCTACAGTATCTATTCATGTTACTAATCTGTTCCTGCTGAATTCAGTGAACATTACATGCAGCAAATACTAAGGTGTTTAATAGGCGATGAGTTTGGAGAAGTAGAACATTTAAGGCCTATCTCTCTTTACTTTCATCGCTGATATAAAGGACCATATTTGTATATTATCCTTAACCTAGAAGGTGATTCAAATGTATCTATGATAATTTAAAGCTTCAGATGTTCAGCTTTAATCTCTCAAAAGCTCTTCACTTCTAAGAGATTTACAAAATCTTTCCATAAACAACTAGCACATCTCCACCTCCATGTCTTTGCCCTCACCTGAGCATTTCTTCTGTCTGGAATTCTAACAAAAAAGCCCTAGAACAAGGGTTTCATGTACAGGCAGGGGCAAAAAAGTGGGAGGTTTGGCTGCTGGCGTAGCTGTGCGGACTTTAGTCGTAGTTTGGTGGGAACTCACCTACTGGAAGTTCTTAAAGAAAGAATCAAACTATGTATTAGGATGATTGAAACAGTGACAGTTTGCTGATGCAGGGAAGGAGTGAGGAGGGGAAGCAGAAGGCATGGCTTGGATTTAGTTCAGTAATCTAATCAGGACCTTGAAGAAGAGATAAACAAAAATACCAAGAGGATTCAAAAGGTTAGTGATTAAACATAGCTTCAAATCTGATTGACTAAGAGAATTAGAAGAATTTAAGAACACATTAAAAGAGGAGGGAAATAGAAAGTCAAAGGAAAAGAAACAGTTTTGGAGAGAGGACATGCTTACTTTGGCGAAGCACCCAGCATATAAGTGAAATGTAGCTCTTTGGAAAAGATATAAATTCCACTTGTCCAGAGGATATAGGTGGGAGCACAGGCAAGGGAGGGCACATAACTGAAATCATGGAAGCAGAGAAGTCTTCTAGAGACTGACTACAATGAAGCATAAAACCACAAGGAATGCCCCATTCAATGAACAGGAAGAAAATTCATTAAGGAGAGAGAGTGATTACAGAAGAAGAAAAACCGAATATACCAACAAGCCAATTCAAGAGAATTTCAGCTGGGGATATAGCTCAGTGGCCTGCCTGGCAAGCACAAGGTCCTGAGTTTGACTCCCAGTACAAAAAAAATCAAGAGTATTTCAAGGAAAGGCCAAAGAATGTAGGTGGAAAGGAATAAATATTGAAGGAAAAACATGCCACTGCAATTGTACCATTGTTGGTAAGTTTAGGGCACAGTTCTCTGGCTTGTTTTCCACAGAATTCTAGCACTGCAAGACATTTTGAGAAAAAATAAATTCATGTATAAATCAGCATAAGTGTATTAAATAGAGCAAGAGTTTTCAACTTTTAAACTACTTTCATTTGAGGCCTGACGATTCTTTGCTGCCTGAGAGTAGGGTCATCCCAGGCGATGGAGGATGTTCAGTAGCTTCCCTGGCCTTTCCTCACGATGCCAGTTTCACCTTCCCCATGTCAATCAAAAATCTCTCCAGATACTGTCAGCTGTCCCCCAAGGCAGCTCCTCAGTTGAAAACCACTCTTAGAAATTCTACCCTCAGCAAACAGCCAGCTTTAGGTTCACAATGTTCCATGTATTGTAAAGTGTTCTGAAAGTTCTGCTCCAAGTAATGTTTAAAAATTTTCAACCCAGAATTTCTCAGTGATCCCAGAATTCGTAGTTCTAATAAACCTGATAATGAGCATCCTTTGACAAATACGTCTGAGCCAATACAGAATCAGAAAAAGGGCAAGCAGATTTCTGCCAACCTGGAGAAGCATCGGTCAGGGCACAGCCCTCTCCTCACCTCCATGACCCACTTGCACTGCTTCCTTTGGGTGTGCCTCCAAAACGATGTAACATCCAAGCGGCCACTAGTGAAACTTTCAGGCCACTGCGATATCAGGATGTTGTTCTGGTCCACCCCGGAGAGATGTTTAAAGTCATATTAATGAGGCTATTTAATTTGCTAACTCTTCTGTTTTGTTTTGAGTTGTTCCAACACATTCAGCCAACTCCGGGGGCTTAAGAACAAACTCACTTGGGAGAGGTAAAGCTGTCTTTCTCTCCTGCATTGATTAAAAAGGTCAGAACTGAAGCTGCCAGGAACTGAAGCAAAGAAGCAACAGCATCCTCTAGTGGCAAGCTACTCCGGGCAGCATCGGCTCTAGAATTACACCACTTAGTGAAACACGACAAATCTTCTTAGACTCTCAGCCCTGTAATTTTAAGGTAGAAAGTACTCCAGGTGGGATCTTTTTCCCATTGAACTGTTATTATATGAAGTTTGAGGATGAAAAGTGGCTGCCAAGCAAAGCTTTATCTAAAGAAAGATTTCAGCAAAATGAGACTGTTAAATGCTTTATCATTACATCTAGAGATATTACCCATCTCTTCTGGGCATTAAACATTTAATGCTAGGCATTACTATTTGCATTAACTTAAGTGAGGTCATTAGATGAGAACTCCCTTTCAACATCCTGTTTTTCATTTTTAAAATATTATTTAAGGTTTAAATGCTTTAAGAAATAGGGAATTTATACTTCTCTTTGGAGAAATGTCATACTGTTTATAACACTAGATGAGCCTTTTTCCTGGTTGCCTGATAGCTGCAGATGGCAAAGATCAAATTACAGTCAGGAGGCAATAGACATGTCGTCATTATGGTTTTTAATAGTGGCAGGCCCTTGCTAAATTTAGAAGGCCCAGAGTTTTTGAGTTTCTAAACGTCATTTGAGATTTTTAGTTATCTGCACTGCACATTGTGGCAGTAGCCTGCAAGTCCAAGATACATTTCACTTGCTTTAAATTTGAATTGTCAAATAGCTCTCAGAAGGAAGATATAAAATGCAGAGTTCAATGGTTCTGTAACTTCACTATGTAAAGTCCTATAGCATATGGATGAAAACCAAAGGACAGGATCTTATTTGATTTATTCTTCACGCTTGTGGCGCCTAAGAAAAAAGTTTTGGTTTTTTTTTTTATACTACTAATCAACCATTCA